ATACGTCAGAACCGATTAGAATTAGAATCAATAGTAAATCGAGGAAACCTTTTTCAAAAGGTTTAAACTAAATTTATGTTAACTATATGTGCCATTGTACCAAAAAATAAAAAGTTACGAAACTAGTATCATGAGAAAGCACTGATAATTGAGCTGTAGGAACAAAAATTAACATTGTATTTATTTACATTTATTAATTTTAAGTAAAGCAAAAATTTTGTGAAGATAGTTAATAACTTACTGTGACAACTGTTTTGGAAACATAACAGTTGGAAATTGAAACACTAGCAAAATACAATGACACTCCATTAATTCATTTAAAAAACCCACCTCAATGCTATGTGCAAGCTCTGCTTTAATTACTAAACCACTTAGATCTTCTACATCTATGTGGTTCTTGTTCTCGGCTGTTTTAATGTTGTTGTTTTTTTTAATGTTTTTAGAATAGAACTTGAAACCTTTCCTCAAATAAAATTGCTGTAATTATTTAAAAGAAATTTATTATCATTTATTGCTATAAAAATGCTGTATTTTGTTATAAAAACAATAAAACATATTTTCATATGCTAAAATATATTCACAAAATATTATTTTCTGTATGATTCATCTTTCGGCTTAATAGGGCGCATTGTAAAGTTTACAACATGACACAATTTTCCATGTTAAAAAAAGTAATTCTTTGTATTAGCCACACAGCATTGAGAATGGAACAATCACGCACGCATCCAATGAACCTCTTTCCATGAAAGCAGGTAGAAACTATATCAAAGTTACCAGCAACGTCAGCTAGTGGATGTTCTTTTTCAATAAGTTCTTAAATATGAGGTTGTTCAGTTAGTTCATGTCAGACAGTCAGGCAATGACCAATATTCAATAACTTAAGAGAGAAAGTTTTGTCAAAGATTTAATACCAACCTAATTTACCTAGAAAATTTAGATGTTTGTTGTTAAACATTGATGGTCTTATTGATAAAAAAAAAATGAAGTTGAAAAGTATTTACTAGAATATAAACCTGAAGATATTAGTTTAACGGAAACAGATGTGAATGACATATACTTGAATATTGAAAATAAATTTAAGCATTGCACCTCCAGAGGTGTATTATCTTTTAGTACAAATACTGGGGGATGTACACATTTAATCGGAAAAAATGTTAAAGTTTTAGACGTTTGGCAAATTGTGGTATTATAAGTGTTTTACTTCGAGTTATAAATAAAGCTATATCTGTAAGCTTTTTATATAGATCATTTTCAAAAAACGACCGTATTGAATTTATAAACTTTTATGAAAACTGGATCAACATGATTAAAAATAAACACAAAGGCATCAAAATCATGGGTGATATTAACTTTAATACTGATTCATTTAGAAATGTAAACAGGTCACCATATTTTAAAAGTTTTCTTGAAGTAATATGAAAATCAAGCTTAAAAATAAACAACAATGAAATTAATAATTATAATGAAATTAATAAAAAGTAACCAATAAGAATTATTCTAACTACTAGTACGTTGATTGAACTGCTTTTAAATTATTTACCTCTTTGAAATTATACAAATTCAATCTTATAAAATTTCAGGCCATGAAATGGTTTTGGCTTAGTATCAATACAAATTTAAAAAAATGTTCACATTTAACCTATCATATAACCTGTAAGATTCCAAAGAAACTAAATTAAATGACAAAATGGATTATAATCAAGAGTTGGTAGTCAAGCTTGCAAAAATAGAGGATGAATTAAGGAGACTAAATACTTATGAAATGGCTGAACGATTTATTAATAGTATTTAAGAATTCATAAACACAGTAGTACAACATTAAAACCATTTGATATAGCAATATGAATTTATACTATAAAGGGATGAGTGATCTAAAGTTGGTAACAGCAAGTAAAAAAGTAAGTTTATAGTAAAGCAAAATTAAAACAATGAGAAAACTTGAAGTGCGCAATAAAGATTGCTTCAAACAATACAGAGTTTATAAAAAATGTAAAAGCATCAAAACCTACCGATTGCGATAATTGAAATCAGACTATTTCAAAACTAAAATTGATTTGCTTATAGATTGTTGATAAATACAATAAGTTTCTCATTCAGAACATTCTAAATATTCAAAAATTTAGAACAAATTTAATTAACCACTATCTGTCTGTTGCTTAAATAAAAACATCACTACATGTTAGTGAAATGAATCTATTTAAATAAATTTCTAAATATCAGCTTGACAAAATAGTATGTAATCTTAAAGATAAAAAAGCATGTGTAAAGATATAAATGTACCAATTTAAAAAATTATATATATATCCAGTCATTAGCTCAAACTTGCTGAGAATAATTAATTTTTAAAAACAGGTTTTGTACTAAAACATTAGGAAAGATACACTATAAACAGAAAGTGACATCGCCTAATTTACCACAAGATATGAGACCAAAATATAAATTAGGGTACAAAAAAGTTATTGAATTGTGTGCACATATACAATTGTCTATTTATTTCGAAGAAAATATGCTCTATAATAAAAATCAATATAGCTTTTGAAAAATCTCTCTATTGAAACAGCAGTTTAGCTCCTCATTACAAAATGGAGTGGAGCAATTGATAAAGGTAACTTCATCATTACTCTTAAAAGATAGCATTTTAAACAATTAGCTCAAAAATAACAACTGAAAAATTAAGATTCTACAAAATGAGAGGTGCAGTACTTCAATGGATTATAAGCAACTTAATATGAAGAACTCAAAGAGTATGAATCGGTGATCATTTATCATCCAAAATACTCTGTGAGGTAATTGCGTCCCAAGGATCATTACAAGGTTCCCTGTTTTTAAAAATATACATGAATAGTATTGACAGTACTACCAATTATGAAAACATTAATCTCTTTGCAGATGACACATTAGTATGCATTGAAAGTAAGAACTATGAAAAATTGATTATAAAGTTAAATGATGAATTAGAAGTACTTGTTGTCTTTTTTTTTTCTTGTTTATTGAAAATGGATTGAAACTAAGTCGATAAGTATATTGATTACAATTTCCAAGTTAAAGTAGTTATTAAGCATAATAAAATATTCAAACATATGTGTCAAGCTTGAAAATAAAGTAGTTAATTTCAGTGAATGTGTAAAACACCTGTGTATTGAAATTGACTTCAGTTTGAATAAAATTTCTGTAATAAATTTCTTTACATTTTAAAAGTTTAGACCAATCATCAACTTAAATTTTTTGGACACAATTTTTAGATACATTTTATTTTCAACTTAATATTTGAGAAATGTGAAATTTTTATTGCATGCTCAGCAGATCTCTTTTTTATACGATATTTTTTAATATTATTGATCCAAAACATGGATTTCTTTATTTCCTTTCTCTCTGTTGAGCTTATTTCTATTTATTTTTATTTATATTATTTATCTTTTTTAATGTGTTAAGTTTTCAGATGATCAGCACTTGTTTAAAAGTAAAAAATTAGTAAAAATAAAGTAAAAAAAAAAATTACAATCAAAAGTAAAACTAATTGTTTTATTATTGCTTAAAAAAACAGATTCAATTAATTTAATACATGTTTTAGCTATGAATTTCCTAAATTTTTTTTGTTATATTTACCGATATTAAAAAATTTTCCATAATTTAAACTTAATTGGTTTTACTTATATTTTTACTTCTATTATTTTGATCATACTGGAAATGCAAAAGAAATCATCAACAAATGCAAAACATTTGACATTATGTTACCATAAGTAATATTACGTTGTCAAGTTTGTTGTTAAATGTGATATTTTTCTGTGTAATCCGTATAACATAAATTTTTATTTAATATCAGCTGTATTGAAATACATATTTTTAAAACACAATGATTCTACAGCAGCCATTAAAGGCTGCAAACCTAATTCTACTCTAAAAATCCAATAACCTTTGAAAATAATTTATGCTTTTCATCAAAAATCTGATACCTTTTTTTTAAAACACTTTTGTCTAATGTGATAACAGTCTAGTTTAATTGCTATGTACTGATGTCAATTTTTGATATAGACTAACAAACTTTCTCTCTTTTTCCAAAAAATTGAATAATCTGTGAAACTTTAAACAACACTGTTCATAAAATACTTGAAACAACACTGTTCATATAATAAAATACCTTTTTAGTTCAAAATGATTTTTGAGTTTAAAGTTCCTTTTTTTTAAAAAAAAAATCCATTGTTTATTTTTAATAACATCATAGTTGATTTTTATAACATAATAGTTGATTTTTACAACTTACCTTTTATAACTAATTTTTATAATATTTTTTTTTTATCAATTATACTGATAAAAACTAATAAAATTACTGTTGATAAAACTCTACATTTAAATTTGATTTACCAGCTTAAAGTTTAAAAGCTTAAAAACCATGAAAATCAATTAATATTATTATTTAAACATATCTAATAAAAATTATTAATAAAGCATATTAAATAAACATTATTAATAAAACATATCTAATAAACATAATTATTAAAACATATCTAATAAACATTATTATTAAAACATATCTAATAAACATTATTATTAAAACATATCTAATAAACTTTCATTTTTACATCTATACTCAATTGGAAAAAAATTAATTTGACTAATTTTTTGTTTTCTTATCACATATATGCAAAAAAAAATTGGTTTCTTTGTTTAAGTATAAAAGTAAAGATAGCCTACAATCTATTCAAGCCTGATGCTGGATTATTTTAAAATGGCGGATTATTTTAAAAATGATATGTTTGCTCTTTAATAATTGCAACTTTGTGCGATAAAAAAAAACTGAATTTAGAACTTAAACACAATGTTTGAACAGAAACACTTCACGTACTACCCCAAATATCTTTAAAATTTGATCTACGAACAATAATTTGATTGAGCAGTACAAAATATATTCTTGATTTAACAAAACATTGCTTCAGCATGAAAAAAAAATTTCAATAAAGCATTTAAAAAATAAATTTAAATAAATTCATTAAAATACCGACCGTTAGAATAACAATAATAGAAAATATTAGCGTATTTTGTTGTGCCAAAACATGGATCACCATATAAGTCGTTATTAGACTGGACAATGCAATTATTATTTCCATCGCATAAGTTTTGAACAAACCCAGTTATGCTTTTTGGACAGTTTTGATTTAAACAGTTTTTGCAGTCAGTAGGAATAGGGCCATATGTTGCTGTGCCAATTTTAATATATGTTTGTATCGGACAAATTATTTCTCCAAAAGATCGTTCAAGTATTGTAACTAAATAAAAAAATACTAAAAACAAACAAACAAAGTTATCATAATTTTTATATAAACAGATTTTGAAAATGTGGTTTAAATACTAGAGCATGAATTATTTTAGAAAAATTATTTCCAACCAACAAACAAAAAAAGATAAATCGGAAATTTAAACTTAATAACTGTGACCTCTAAAAACCGTAAATTAGGTATACTTTATACCTAATTTACGGTTATACAAGTTATACTTTTCTAGATAGAAAAGTTTCCGTAATATTGACCACTCTAAATCTCAAACTGCAAAGATAATCATGCAGATCAAATGAAAGATATTCATATTTTGGGCCATTGAAAGTGTCAGAATGTTTTCAATAAAACTAAAAGATAAAAAATGCAGGGAAATGGCGAATGTTTTAAAAGTGCTAAATTTTTGACAAAATTTCAGCCATGAAGCAATAATCCTTTGTTAGTATGTTTGCTTTATCATTATGAATTAATTGCTAATTTGCAAGTAGAAAAATATTTGATACAAATTAAAATGCAAAATTCATAAAGATCCCTGCAAACATTGTTGTCGCGGATTTGCAGTTAACCTACCTTTAAAGCGCCTCTTTGAAGTTTTGCTCATCGGTTACATAGTAGACCATAAGTGATATCCGCTATAAGTGACCAGCCGATAAATTTAAAACATGTAATATAGTGGCTAGTTTATTGGCTAGCCACATTTGGGGAGTGCTTTTAATGGTCCACTATAGCGGACATTAACATGAACAGTTAACTATAGTTAATCAATGAGCAAAACTACAGTGGACCGCTAAAACTCCCTATATAAGTCACTAGAATGTTTGTTGGGTTGTCATCAGGTCGATTGACCAGGACAAGATGACTTTTTATGCGTTGTATTTTGACTCCAGTTTTATAACATTTTAAAAACTAATAACTACTTTAACTAAGCAACACAAAACAAACACGCGTCGCTACACATAACAAACACACATCGCAACACATAATAAACACGCGTCGCTACACATAACAAACACACATCGCAACACATAACAAACACGCGTCGCAAAAAAACAAACACGCGGCAAAACAAAACAAACACGCGTCACAACAATAATATCTCTAAAAAGATTACACCCGAATGTCACCATTTATTGGCAATAACCAAAAACAAAGTATTTTTCAATAAAAAAATTTATGCGCATTAAATTACTATATCTAAAAAAACTAATTGTTATTTTAAAGTATAAAATATAAATACAGTTTCGTTTACACCCATTTTCAAAATTTTTGTTGACTTGTTTTATGAATAGCCGTTTTGCCCCAACTTGTTAACTCCTACACATTTTTGAAAAGTATAAAAGTAATGGTTTTAATATAGCTTCTTTAATAAATTTTGTTTTTATTTACATTTGAAAAAATTCTTAAATTAAATAAAAAGAGAAAGAAAAAACAATGTACCGATAATTAAGAAATTCCATTTCATAAGGTTTCAATTCTAATAAAAAAGATAAGCTTGTAGATGGGTCTGAGAAGCTGTCGATGTTTTAAACTTAACTTTACTGAAAAAGAAAACAGTACCTACAGTGAACAGTAGGTAGAAAAAACTAAAAAAATAATAACATATTTAAAGAATGTTTTTATTACCCTTGCTACTAACAGTAACGCTCTACCACTACACCACCAGTTTGTAGTGTTGTGCTGGTAAAACGATTGCCTAATAAGCAAGAAGTTACAAGTTCGATCCTTAACACATACATTGGATAAATAGGTGTAGTGTGGTAAAGGTAGTAGTGTTGTCAGGGTAGATGAATGTTGTAGAATGTTGCAAGTTTAAGAAAGTAACTAAGAAAAAAACTAGTAGTTTATTTGTGACATGAGTATTGATGCTTGAAACTTAAAAATTATTTTAGTTTTAAATTAAATAATTGATGAATTTTATTTAGAAATTTAGCTTCTTAGTTATGACAAAATGTTAACAGTGCTATCTAAAATCAGACTGGCACTAAGAGGCCCAAGGGGATGAGAAACAAAGAGGGCCCTTATGGTACCAAAAAGTTTAGCAAAATTAAAATAAAACATTAGGAACATAGTTTTTTTTGTTATGAGAGTATAAGAAATATCTAATAATGTGGATTCAAATATCCATATCTTTGACCATGCTCTCAATCAATTTATTTGGCACATTAAAAAAAAAATCCATATGCAAGGTTTTAAAAAAACAGTAATTTTAAATTGCAGCCTCGCGCCGCTTCAATTTTTGCACATTATTGCCATGCTAAGATGGTTTCCTCCCAATAAATTTATCAATATTAGAAAAAATATAACTTTGGTTTCAAGTTTTTTAATTGGTATAAAAATTAATTATCAAAACATAAGAAAAAGATATGTATCTGCAGTATTATATTATAGCAAGTAATCAGTAAAAAGTTTTCATAATTATGTCAAAATATAAACAATCTCATTGTAATCAATTTTTAAGTCATTCTCAACATTCATCAAAATAAGTGACTTGAGCAGCTCTTCGCCCTAAAGACTACGAAGGCGATTTTTTACAATTTGAGAAAGCTTGCTCATATTTGACTTGAGCGTAAGGAAGACATAATTCCATTTTATATGCAACATAAATATTAGAATATTCAGAACAATGTAAATTATAGGAATGGAGAAAACGAAGAACGCAACTCAAACATCTGTTGCAGTCTTTTGGAGGAGGATTTCTTTGATTCAGTTTCATCAGCCTTACTAACTAATGGAAAACTAGTTACAAATGATGTCATCTCTGTTCACATTGTTTTCCTCTGTATAGCAGAAAGATTGGATAAATTGAGGATCCAGACAAGCAATATGCCTTATGATACCAACATTATTTTCTTCGAAACTGCCTTTGTTTGCTGAAGTGGCAGTATCCACAATAGCATAGAATATATTACCCTTAAACCATCTTACTGGGTTCGGAAATTATTGCATCATGGCTTAAGTAAACTTAAGTTCCAAATTTTTCACATTCTTAAAGTTCATCAACAATAGATTTTTTGATAAGTTCTTCAACAACAATAATGGTTCTGGTAACATTTGTCTTGCTCGAAAAAGTAATCAATCAACCTTTCATGCCCTTTTTACTCCTGCTCCTTCTATTAATTTCTTCTACATGAGTTTTTTATAATAGAATTATATTTGTTGAAAAAATTACAAGTGCCAGAAAATTGCCGCACTTTATCTTAGGAATCTTGTCCATATATTACCATCCATAAACCAAGCTCATTCATGTTTACGATAAGCAATGTCTTACTTTCCTAATGATTTTAATTACTCTATCTAAAAGAAGGCATCCTTGCCCCAATTCAATTTATCATTTACTGTGAAACAGGTGAACAATTTGTTCTTATTCTCAGCTGCAAAGTGGAATATAATTTCTTTGCACTTTCACCGTTATCTCTATTATATACATGTTTTTTATTGAAGTCCGACACATTTGATGGGTATAAATGATGCAATTTCATGAAAAGAAGTTTTTCACTCAAGGAAGAAGTCTTTGGCAAAATAAAAGACGTTGTACCTGTTGCTTATCCTTCTTTAATCTAATTTATCTCAAGAGCCGTAACCAAGGGGGGCCAGTGGGGCCTTAGCCCTCCCTAAAACATTTTTAAACTGTAATTGTTAGCCCAAAAGTGTCTAATAAAATAAAAGCTAATGTAAAAGATGGTTGCTTTTTAGGATCGATTTAGAAATAAAAGCTAATGTAAAAGATGGTTGCTTTTTAGGATCAGCGACACCAACCCAGCTTGGTGTCGCTGATCCTAAACTCGCAAGAAAAAGGAAAATGCCAGATTCTTAAAAAACAGTTCTTTACCCACAAAAAACCTTTCATTTCTATAATTCACTAAAATAACATTATCGCCAATTGTATTCTAAAATTTTCGGTCTTAATATCAGTTTTATAAAACAGAGGTTTGATCAACCTGATGATAAGGTATATATTGATCTTCGGGAATTTCTTCTCGAGTCAATAAAACGAGAAAATTAGAAAAATCATCTGCGATCAGTTTGTCACATTTACTGTCAAAACTTTAGCTAAAACACAAATTACCCTTCTACCAAGCATTTCAACATCATTAGGTTATGGCATCAAAAAACTCACTATCGAAGATTTCTTCTTGTTTTTCAAGAGTTTGGATCACTTTAAAAGGGCTTTACTTACCGAAATTGTAAAGATTGCAAAGCTAATTCTTGTGATGCCAGCCAATAATGCTCTTAGTGAAAGATCTTTCTCCGCTTTAAAAGAGTTAAAACCCATTTTCGATTAACAACAACAGATTCCTTTCTAAACAACTTGCTAGTTCTTCATACTTGCGTGAAACCAGTGTGAAAAATTGATTTGGTTGAGATTGCAAATGACTTTATTAATAAATGTCATACACGACTAACTTTTTTTAGAAATTTCAGTTAGCTTTTTTTGTAGAGATAAACGATGTTCGACACAAGAATTACATTTTTTATTTTTTTCAAAGATGTGGAGCTTGAGGATCATTAAATATACATTGTAAATGAAAATCAAAACATTTCGTAACCCTCTCCCTCTTTTAAAAAAACCATAGGCCTTCCTAAGATGAAATTGTGATTACGGCTCTTAACTCAGATTGTTCACCATCTGTATCTTCTTCTTTACATACATTATCCTCCAGAACAACCATTTCATCTCTATTTTTATTCTGAACAATAACTGCTGGAACAACCTATTCTCCTCTATCGGCATAATCATGAACGATAAGTTGCGGAACAATAAATTCTCTATACTCAGGTTCCTTGATACTATGTGCAAAAATAACTTCTTGAATATTTTTCAGTTTACTATCAGCTGCAATAATCGGCTTCCGTAGTATTTGTATGTTCCCATTACCAAATGATAATTTTGTCTGCTTTTGGTGTTTTGCAGCATTGGCCAGTTCGGATTTTCTCTTTTGATTTTTCCTATGTGCACAAAAATTTATTTTTTTGACTTCCATCATCTGTCTACTTCCTTTTTTTATCCATTTATTCAACCAAAAATTAAAAAAATTACAAGTTTTTTTTTTTTAGGTGTCACTTATATAGTAAAAATTAGTCAATGGAGTGACACCTAAATAAAAAAAACAATAAAATAAAAAAAAAAAAACAGCAATAATTATAAATAAAAGCATGTGTAAATTAACTATAAAAATAATAATAACAATAAACCTATAATAAATTAAATAATGAGACAAAAAATATGAAAGCACTCAATTAATTACAACAGCAAACAAAAGTAAATAAAAAAACTTTACGCATACGAAAAGGCAAAACACCAAAACTTCAAAATGAAAATGCAAAAACTACTAAAAAATTAAATTAAATTAAAAGTAATAAGAATCTTTAGTTATTACCGGTGAAAAAAGAAAAGTGTAGAAAATTTAGTAAAACAGAAAAACAGCGAACAACAATAAAAATAATTAGCAGCAACAGCACAAATAATTAAAAACTTTACGCAAACGAAAAGGCAAAACACTAACTACAAAATGAAAGCAAAAACTACACAAGAAAAATGGAAACACAAAAACTTCTACAAAAAAAAAAAAAAAAAAATAATCTTTAGTTAATTTTGGCGAAAAAAAAGGTGTAGAAAATTTGGTAGCGTCTTATTACAAATAGATGTTCTAATTTTCTTTTGTTTGTTTTTTTAAGTGTTAATTGTGAGTATTTACTTTTTGAGTCTTTCTTTGTTTATAATATGACTTGTTTTTTTTTTAACTCTTCATTTTCTTTTGATATTTTCGAAATCTTAATTTTAACAATTGACAATAAACTCAGTTTTTGATTTTCTTTTTTTTTTCAACGGTTAAAAAAAACACAACTGCCGTCTGCGATGACCTTGCAAAGAGTGTTGACTACCTCTAAAGTTTGTAAAACATTTTTTTTTTATCAAACGTGGTTGCTGCATGCAGCGACCACCTTTATGTTTTGTTTTCTTAAAATACAAATTTTGTTTTTCTAATTAAAATACAAACTTTCTTTTTCTAATTGAAATACAAATTTTCTTAAAATACATATTAAAATACAAATTTTCTTAAAATACATATTAAAATACAAATTTTCTTAAAATACATATTAAAATACAAATTTTATTAAAATACATTTTTAAATACAAATTTTCTTAAAATACATATTAAAATATAAATTTAAAATCAAATATTTTTTTTTTAGTTTTATAATATAATGTTATAAATATATTTTATTATAATATTAATTTTTTAAAATTATATTACATATGAAATTTTTAAAATTACGTTACTTACTTTTTTAAACTACATTACATACTAATATATTTTATAAAAAATATTTTTTCTTACAAAAGGAGAAATTTTTTAGATTAACCCATTTTACCTTTCTTGCAACAATTATATTTTAACAATATAATCGTTGTAAGGAAGAGGGCCTAAAAATAATTTTTCACCAGCACATTTTCATTCTCTCCAGGACCTTGGGCTCATATAAAACATATACGCATGACTCATTTTTATTATTAGGCTTTTAGTCTCTAGCTCACGATAATAAATCAAAATAATAAATCAAAATACTTTATCCTTAATAAATAATAATATAAGGCTGCTTACTATGTATTTTGATATTTTATTAAACTTTCGTATTTTCATCGTAGAATTAACTACCATGTTTATTGTATTATCTTTGCAATATTAATACATATAAACAGTAAAAAGTTATTATTAACTTGTATTTTTGTGTGTTTTACCTTTGCATCTTGATTTTTAGTGGAGCCCAGAATCTTATATGTACTTTATATGTTGCTATTTATTATATTTTATCTGTTGCTAAAGTGTGCGGTAAATATTGGCATTTTGGTTTTTTGAATTTTTAAGCTTGCTAAACTGGCAGAAAATAAATAAAATCATGAAAGCTTGATATTTAAAATAAATTCATTTTTTTTAATAGTTATTTTTTGTAAAATATTTCTTATAGAAAAACCAGAATTTTATCAATTTTTATGGTTTATGTCATTATTATTTGAATATTCATATTATTATCATTAATGATTTTTCACCAATTACGACAAAAGAATTATGAGTATTTGTATAAATTACCATTTGGATACGGTGCCTAATAATTGTTAGTGTCGAACAGATTACAAGCTATTTCAAATTAACCCAAAATTTATCGATCGGCTTTTTGTATTTTGAGCTAGATATTGATCTACTAAAAAACTTCAAGAACCACCAGAAAACTTTAATGTGTTTACATGTTTTGAACATGTAAAAACAGGGGTGCCGCCACCAATTTTTGGTCTTTGAGATAGATATCCAGACATTGAGCAAACTCTAAACATTTACATTTTTATACAAAGAAGCCCCAAAATTTTGTCCCCCCTGAATATGGATATAAGTCTAGGCGAAAATAGTACAAAAAATATTTCATCAACTTTTTGCTCTTACGTTTGGGGCAGGGAAAAAAAGTTTTAGGGCTTTTTTGTTCCCAAGCTCTAATCATCGCAACTTTTCGCAAAGCATCCTTATTTGACATAAGTATAAGCATATAAATGTTTGGAGTGTGCTCCATGTGTAGAAGTTAGTTCAAAAGACCAATAAATGCTGGCGTTGCCCGAGTGTAAAATAAATCTCCTTGATGATTTTTTACAATTGATGATTTTTGACAAATGATATTTTACAATTGACTCTATGTTCTGATAGTAAAACTGAATATAAACTCTAACTTTAAACACAAAACTTTTTTTTAAATTTCTATTAACAGAACAAATAGTTTTAAATAATAATAAAAAAATAAATAAAAATAAAAAATAACTTACTATTATAATACTGACATGTGACTAATGCAAAAGTTACCTAAAATAAAAAACAGAATTATATAAAGCATCAATAAACAACTTCTTTTGTGGTTGCAGTTTTTTTTTTTTATATTCATATCAACACAGCAGCAGAGAGGGCCAGTACAGGCTACTACACTACATATTTTATACACTTACTATTGTACAGTATGTACAGACTGTACACTCTGTACTGATGATGATGATGATGATGATGATGATGATCATATGGATGTTCGGTAGAGCAACGCAAGTGTTCTGTATTGCAACTCATTTGTTCGGTAAAGCAACGTGACGCGGCCTATGTTCGTTTTTGCAACCATTTTGTTCGTTATCGCAACTTGTTGTTCGTTATTGCAACCCCGGGAGCGCATGTTAAGCTTTATAAACTTTTTGTTTTTTAAAACACTTACTTGATCGTAAGCCGGTACAGAAAATTGTCTGACCGCCATCGAAAATGTTTGTACTGTTTTTACAGCAAATAAGTAATGTCAATCATATATATTTAAAACTAGAACTAAAATCGCTTTTAAGTGAAATGTATGAAAACAAGGATTAAAATTTATCATAAGCTATTTTTTTCTTTACTATATATATATATATATATATATATATATATATATATATATATATACTTTTTTTTTTCAAGACAAGTTGCACTCCTAAAATGTCGTGTGTTCTTTGCAACAAATTTTTTGTTGTAGATGGATGTAATTTTTGCAACCAATGTTTAAGTATAAAGTTTTTTTTTTGTACTTTTGTTTTATTTAAAATTAAAGGTTTTGAACAAAATTTTTTTTATGATTTGCATTTTTTTACTTTCCCTTTTTTAAGGTAGTACTAGTGATATTGAAGATTTAGATATATTTGTCACAACAGGTATATATTTGTTCTCATTTTTGTTGTAGTCTGTACTTTTGTTGTAGTTTGTAACATATTCTAAATAAGTCTTCATAAAATCACTCATTAAATTGACTGTACAAAAGAAAAGATTCAACTGAATGATGACTTGAAATCAAATTTTATATTTTGAGATAAGAGATTATTAAGTTATATAGATTCACAGATGTGAATATATATAACTATATAGCTGCTTTGCCTCAGTATCTTTTTTTATCATTATTTGTATTAAAATAAGAATATAAATAAATATTTATAGCATTGAATCTGTTTACAAAAAGTAGCATGATGGAAATTGCATCTTCTCAGTTGCTTAAATCAATTTATTCTGGTCAAGTAAGTAGCCTTATTTACAGTTTGCAGATAACTTCTGTATCACAAAAACAGACATAAAAACTAATATATATAATATATATATATATTTGTGATATATATATCTATATATATATATCTATATATATATATATATATATATATATATATATATATATATATATATATATATATATATATATATATATATATATATATATATATATATATATATATATATATATATATATAGATATATATATATATGTATATGTATGTATGTATATATATATATATGTATGTACATATATATGTATATATATATATGTATGTATATATATATATATATATATATATATATATATATATATATATATATATATATATATATATATATATATATATATATATATATATATATGTATATGTATATACAACCCTCGGAAGTAGGAAAAATGAGGTTAGCAATAATTTGCTGACCCCAATTTTTTAGTGGTTGGCACATCAGGTCAGCAAAAAAAATTAAATACAAAAGTATTTAATCTAAATACATAAAACATAGAAATGAGGTCAGCAATAGTTTGCCAAACTCAAACACTTTTTGGTTGGCAGTGAGGTCGTTATTGCCGAATGCCAACCCGAATTCTGAAAGCTGATATATATATATATATATATATATATATATATATTTATATATATATATATATATATATATATATATATATATATATATATATATATATATATATATATATATATATATATATATATATATATATATATATATATATATATATATACATATATATATAATGTTCTGCTTTTTTAATTCCTGCCTTTGCTAACTCTTTGCTAACAAAATTTTTCTTGATTAAATCTGCTATTATGATGTATATATTCTTGGCTAGTTGAGCAAATGAAAACTTTTATTATCTGAGAACTGGAATTTTTAATATATTATAATATATCATCATACAGAAAATTATAATAAATCATATGGAAACAAATCAATGAGCAATATTTTATGTAATTCTAATAAAACAGATCAAAATCTTGTGCAATATTAATTTTTTTTCTTTAAGATAAGAACTTTTAGATAAACTTGGTTGTACATATATAAATTATAATAAATATTGTATTAACATGGTATAGTTATTGAATTAATTAAAATTACAAAGACAAAAATGAAATACTGATAAAGTTAACTCAAATGAAAAAATGGAAATAAGGATGTTAGCATGGTTACCTAACTAATGAAATTATAAAATTATAGATGTAAGGATAACTAGCTAATAAGTTCAATTAGTTGGAAATCCATAGTAATAGTCAATTAGTTGGAAATCCATAGTCAGTTAAATTGTCTGTTCAATAAGTTAATTAATTTCGACTTTCAGCCAAGCAACTTTTAGTTGATTTATTCAAAATCTATAACAATATACTGTTTAAACTTTATTAAATGATGTTTGCTTCAGTAATATTTTTACATTTTATTTTCAGTTATACAGTTATAGACATAACTGGTTTAAAGCGGGTGGAGAAGATAAAAGTTTGTTTTACTTACAAATATATAATTTTTAACTTTTTTTTTTATTTTTTCCTGAATATTGCGCTTCTTATGCATTTCCGTTTCTTTATAGGATGTCTTCGTAATGCAGATCTTCTAAGCCTATTATCAGAGAATCAATCAAATGAGCTTTTTAAAGCTCTTGTTTTAGTATTTAATAGTTTAAAAGTGAGAGTCATAATATGTTATATTCTTATTTACTTTTATTATTATTTATTTTTTTGAAAATAGTCATTATAAAATCCTGTATTCGTTTAAATAATTCACTTTCTAACATTAATTTTTGTTTTTTCCCAGTGATTATCTTTTTTAGGATAGCGACTATGTATTTAAGGTGCTAGTCCCAGAATCAATAGTATTTTTATTTGCCAAATTTAGTAATGTTTCGAGAATAAAGGTATCTAAATAGGCTATGCGTTTCAATTTCTTTTTTTAGTAAATGATTGTTTTTTGAACTAAATATTTTATTATTTTTATTAATTTTAAACTATTTTTATTAATTTTTTCCCCTTTATTAATAGGCTGAAGTAGCTCTGAATGCCTACATTTCTGAAAAGTAATGCAAACTGTTAAAAACTGATGTTGTGATTTTCTTTTCGTTTTTATTTTTGAGTCTAATTAATAAAGAAATTATTATTGAGTTTATTTTTTAGAAATAATAAACTGTTCTGTAGCTCTCTAAAATCAACTGGTGAGATCGGTAAGATCACGTTATTACATGTAAATATTCTATCATTTTGTTTTTTAAATTAATGCTTGTAGCAATAAATCTTCAGAAAAAAATTATTTTTTGTTACTTTTACACTAATACTTTCAAAAATATAAAGTGTCAAAAAATTGAAATGTTGACAAGAACATTTATATAAAAAGAAATTTTTATATCATCTTTTCTTTTTTAAATATAGATTTCTCAATTTTTGTTTCGGAAAGTCAATCAAAAAATGTAACAAATAGTTTTTTTTTCAAATTTATTTGAATAATTCGATAAAATAGTTTTAAATACTAAATAAATTATAAAATGTTCTTTAAATTTTTTGAATAAAAAGTGTTACTCTTGGTTTTTCAACAAAAGAAAAAAATTTAGTTCTTACATTAAAATTTGTTTATGTTATATCAAAGTGTCATTACCAAAATATATTCTTTTGCAGTAGTGGTGTTGTGTTAGAGCACTTGCTTTATAAGCAAGAGGCTCCGAGTTCAATCCCCACCATGTCCCTGGTAACTGACTCAACTTGTTTCTCCGCGCAGCAGCCTTTTTTGTCAAGGTGTTTGTTTGGGCCTAAGTTATAACCACAATTAAGTAGCCTCCTACTTTGTAGCCTTTTTTTTCAAGGTGTTTGTTTGGGCCTAAGTTATAACCACAATTAAGTAGCCTCCTACTTAATTGTGGTTATAACTTGAAATACTTTAAAGTTGGCAGTTAGGCCGGCATTGCAGAATGCTGATCCTAATTCTAAAAGCTGATGTATGTAACCTTTTTTCAGAAAATTATTAAAGAGATTGGATATATATATATATATATATATATATATATATATATATATATATAATCTTTTTTCAGACAATTATTGAAGATAATGGTAACTCAATAAACTTACCATCTATAAATGCTGAGTTTTTAAATAAAGAATGGACCAAAATCACTGCTGACTCTCCTGATTATTTATCAAATGTAAGTCAAAAATTAAATATATAAATTTGTGTGTAAAATTATATATATATACATATATATATATATAATATATATATATATATATATATATATATATATATATATATATATATATACATATATATGAAAAACTTACAATCTATAGATGCTAAGTTTTTAGATAAAGAATGGACCAAAATCACTGCTGACTCTCCTGAATGCTCATCAAATGTAAGTCAAAAAAATTAAATAAATATTCGTGTGTGTGTGTGTGTATATATATATATATATATATATATATATATATATATATATATATATATATATATATATATATATATATATATATATATATATATATATGTATATATATTTATATATATATATATATATATTTTTATTTATATATATATATATATATATATTTATATATATATAGATTTTATATATATAGATTTTTATTCAACGGAAAAAAGAAAATAAAAAACAAGAAGTTTCTCATCATATACCAAGTTCCAGACAAAAAGTAGAATGCACAATTCCAGGATGCAATGAGCTAGTTATAGATCTCCCTAGACATTTACGTTCAAAAAAACATAAAGTTTCTAATGAAGAGGCAAAAAAAGCAAGAGGGCTTTTTGATTTAAGAAAGGTGCGGTCAGATAAAGTTGAGAATCAATCAAGAAATTATATAAAATATAAATGTCCTTTATGCAATATTGTCACAAAAAGGATTCAGGATCACTTATATAGAGCACCGCATCATCTTAAAAATAATCCTGTTAAATACCGTGAAGTTTTGAAAAATAAAAAGTTGTATAAAGAAAATATAGTTATAAAACTTCCTATATCATTCAAAAACCTGCGTTCTATTGAAAGCAAGCAAAATGTTGCAGCTATAAATAATGCTTCCAATAATGAAGAACAGATCTCTGAGGATAATCAATGTTCCACAGGAACATATTCTTTTTCTTCAAAGCCTAATTTTACTGACTTTTTAGATATGTTTTGTTTATATTTAAAGAGTCCATCTGGTGGTATGAAAGATCCCAGAGCTGCAATTAATGAGATGAATCAGGTTAGAAGAATGATGGAGGTGATATGCCCTAATTCTCAAGAAGCTTCATACCATCTATTTTTTGATTTGAAAAAATTTGAAGAAGTTTGGCTAAATCATGCAAAAAATAAAGGTTATGAACCTGGGACAAAGCGATCCTACTTATTGTCATTGACTCATTTCATGGATTTCATTTTGCGTTCAAAACTTACTCCAATGTTAGCCAATGTTTTACCTATTGATGAGTTAATTTCAGCTGAACTAATTTCTCATTGTCAGAAAGAAATTTCAAAGTGGCGAAGAGCCCTTAAACCAGAAGAAGCAGATAGAGAGTATGCTATCATGGTTAAAGATACAGAAGACGTGATTCTAAAGGAAATTTTTGTGCAAGTGCAAAACAGCTCCTTTAATAACCAGGTTATTGAAACAACAAAAGAAATTTATAAAAGATTTCTTAATAAACCAGAGGAATATGTTTGTAATCGAACAACTTTTATAAACATAAGAGATTCAATTTGTTTTTCTTTGATCACTAATAATATTTCAAGATCTGGAGCAATCTCAAATTTGACAACTGAAGAATACACTAAAGGAACTTATTCCACCACTGGTAGCTATATTGTTTTAGTAAAAAAAAACAAAACAGGGCGAAATTACGGTCCTTGTCAAATTATAATAAATCCTGATTTAAAATCTTTATGTGATTCTTATCATTGCATTGTAAGAAAAGGTGTGCCTGGTACTAAATCTGGAAATTTCTTTATAACATGGTCTGGGTGCAACCTTAGTTCAGGAGATATTTCAAAGCAGTTGAACTCTTTTTTTTTTAAATGTTTACCTGATAAGGAAAATGTAAGAAATACATGTGCGACTTTAATACGCAAATCTCTTTTGACATATATATATGACAACCATCCTGATATGAAGGCTGATCTTGCATCTTTAATGAAGCACAAACTAGAGACAGGAGAGAGATGGTATTATTTAAATAATAAAAAGAAAAAAAATTGCCAAACTTCAGAGATGGTAACAAAAATTTTGTTTGATTCATCTCCAAAAAACTCCCCAAACAAGTTGGTCAATGAAGTTGTTAACAAAGTTGAAGATGATTTTGGTACAATGTGTGAAAAAGAATACAACTTAAGAACATTTAGGAAATATTTAGAAAATAATTCTAGTTCCACTAGTGCAAGTGATAGTGATTATGAAACAGAAAATTTAAAAAGCATACCTTCAGCAAAAAGTAGACCATGGAATGAGAATGAAATAAAGGAGCTTTCATTATTATTTGGTGATTATGACTTATCATGCATTACACTTAAAGTGATAAGTGAAAATGTATCTTTCAGTGATATTCTTAAACATCGGTCCACAAAACAAATTTATGACAAATTACGTCATATAGCAAAAAAACAAATGCATAGTAACACAGAATCTGTTGCTTCTATTAAACGAAAAAGTTCTTTTTCGAATGATGAAACAGATTTAATACGTTTTTTATTTGCTAATGAAATTGTTGGAAAATCGATTATTTCAGAAGAAAAGGTAATGCAAACTTTAAACAATAACCAGGGAACCAAAAAAATTGTGGATGGGTACACCTCTGCTCAATTGGTGGCAAAGGTAAGATATGAAAGAAGCAGACTAACCATGCGCAAAAAAAAACCCTTTTAAACATCATATAAATCATCATTCAAATTGTAAAATAATTTTGTCGTTGGGTTTTAGAGTTTTTGATTTTAATTAGTAGATTTGACTTTATTTAGTATATTTTTTATTTAGTTACATTTATTTTTTACAAGGATTTTTAGTTTTTTGAATAACTAAAGTTTTAGAGTTTTTGAGGTCGTTTTAGATGAGTTATGTAAGTTAGGAGTATTATAAGATTTCAAAATAAACTCAAAGAATAACCTTTTAAAATGATTCAGTTCATCATTTTAGTATGATTTTTTCTGTTGAGATTTTGATTGATGTTGAGTTTTAATGGATTTTTGTTACAGTTGAAGTTTTTACAGTTTTTTGTACAGATTTTAAGTCATTCAATTTTTAGTTGTTTTGTCTTTTTATCCTACAGTTTTTAATATTTTATAAGTTCTCCTTAATTTTTGAGTTTCAGAAAGTTTTCCAGCTACTTTAAAACTTTTAACTTTTATAAAATCTTGAAATTGTTTTGATTATATTTTTAGATATAGATAAAATTTTGGTGGTTGTTTCTTTGATTGTAAATTTTTGACATAATTTTCGAATTCTAAAAAATATAATTTATGGTTTAAGTCAACGTAATAAAATGAGATGGCTGAGTGTTGGGCCGAAATATCGATTTCGGCTTTTCTAATAAACCGGCTAACTAATGAATAGAATATACATTAGTTAGCTGGCTAGATACGATTAGATACTAGCTGACTAGTGAATATAATATTCTTTAGGTAGGTAATAGTTTTTATATTCCTTAACATTTAAATTTTATTTTTGTTAATATTTTTATTAAAATTCGTTCTTTTAATTTTTACAATGATGTTTTTATTAAGAATATTAAGCATTTAATTATATTAAATATTAAATAATGTGTTCTTTTTTTTATGTAATAAAATTATTTCAAAAATCATGTGCGAGTGGTTATAATGTGCATCTTATAATTTCCTTATTGGTTTAAAGAAAGTGAGAACAGCGAAGATTGAATTAAATAAGAAGAGCTAGACATGCTGCTAAGTCAAAGAACGATTTTGTTTCTTGAAAAAATGTTACTCCACGTTTTCAATTTTGAAATAAATTTTTATTAAAATAAAGTCGTTTTTTTAATTTGGAATAACTTGATAGTCTTGAACGTTATATTACAATATAATTTAGC